TACATATTGTTCATTAACAAACTTACTTGCTTGCCTCCTAGATGCAAGACTAAAGAAAGCTGGTACCCTTCCTGTAGGACTATAACCTCCTTTTTACAATGCATTTTCTGAAGGTATATTTGGAGAAACCATAAGAATATGACACTCAGTCAGAAACTTGTAACAATAAATGTCCCTCTCTTGCATCTCCAAAGAGGCTCCCATGATATCTTAAATGCAATACTGACAGTTTGGAAAAGCCATTTGATACTGGGCACTGTATCTGCACAGCACAAAAAAACTCCATTTTGAAAAGAGAACTGGTTTGGATTTCAGATCTCTCATGTTAATGTTGGACCAGAGTTTCAAGGTGGGATGATAAAGTACAGCACTGTTCCTGGAGAATTCTCTGAAATGACAGCACGTTTGGACGACAGGGCTGGTTGAAAATTACACATTGTATTTTTCCTATTTTTCTGCCAGGGTACACATTCATAAAATATCATCAGAAACAGAATAAAGAAAGGCACTTTTGCAACTCCCTCAAACACAATTGTTAAAAAGGTGGAGTAACGTTACCAAACACTTGCAGTAAGGAGTTTAAACAGAAAAAAAAAAAAGAAGAAAAAGCATGTAATTCTGTACCAAGGAGTCTTGTATAATTTGAGAGCTGGTCACAGGAGAGGAAATCAGTTGCATGAAATACATATTTCATCATTTTGAAAAGAAGCTGTGGGCAGGAGGGAAGATTCTCAGCTTCAGAGGATTCCATTATACGCCCAAAAAGCTTAAGAGCAATTGGGATGAAAAATATGAAATGAAGAAACATGTACATTGTATACTGTCTCCTGTGTAATTCCTGAGCTAGCTATGAGAAAGTAGTTGTGTTCACAGATGTGTGAAATTATGAAAATTATGAAAACCATCTCACACCTCCAAAACCAAAATATTGTACTCGGAGCTCTCACGTGGTCCAAGCTGTCGGGAAAGCATACTTATGGTACATGAAGCTCGTAGAAGACCTTCGCTCATCCAGGCCCACTGCCAAAACTATGACACGCAATCTATTTCTTTAAAAGGTACACTCAGAAGTACTCCAGAGAAACTAAGGAACAGTGTTACAATCTAGGGCAGAAAGCTCAAGACCTCAAAGAACTAATGTGTCAGGATCTAAACCTAACAAGTCCAGCTAAGGAAACTTCAGTCATGTGAGAGTTCTCATACAACTACAAAAATGAAGGCCAGTGCAGTTTCCTGGACAGAGATGTTCTTAAAAACAAACAAAAAACCACAGCACGCTACCACTACTCTCCCTAACCACACACTTCTGTCACATGCCTTGCAACAGCTTTGGAGCTCAGAGCCCTTGAGGAGATTCAGTTCACTAATCTTGCAGAAAAGTAACCCAGCCAAAAAAGATAACAGTTTTCTTCAGCATTAGTGAGCTGAATCAACTTGGGAAAGGATCTAAGCATCAAAATTGACACAAGGCAATAGACAGGGTGGAGTGGCCAAAAGCAGGTTCAGGAAGTAGCAACACCTCCCCCTTTTGGTGGCAGAGCACAATTTGATTAACTTTAAAGTAACTGCAGTGATAGAAATGCTCTGTCATAACAGTAGTCATTAACGATTAATGCTGTTCCCTATTACATTGTATATTACATTACACTTTCATAAAGTGAATTGTTGAAACTGAAAACGTACTACATAAAACTTACACTTAACAGGAAAGTGCCTCCAAAGAACTCTTAAACCTGAAGTAGCTTCTGTGTAAGGTTGGACTGGAATAGAATTTTCAATTTTGTGATGATAATTTGAAACCTGCTTTTGCTTCCTCTGGGAATACAAATAAAATTATAAAATTAAGTTTCCTACTACTTGAAATTCCCTCCAAAACCTTTCATGCAGTCAAATTTTCTATACATAGCCATTAATAAAATTGAACTGTAAAGTTTTTACAAAATAACAAAACAGTAGAACACTGGAGCTTGCAATATAAAAGTTTTTTCAGTTTACTTTAAAAAAAAAAAAAAGCTATCATCAAAAGACATTAAAAAAATTAAAATCTGTTCACATCTACACTACTTTTAATTGCACACAGCAAAACAATTGCCTTTCCTGGCTAAAACAAGTCTCAAGAAAGATGCTAGAATAGCCTTAAAAATAAGATATCTTTGAATTTGCAGACTACAAAGTACAAACGGAAATAGTGTTAGTGGCTAAAGTACCAGTATCAATTCACAAAACCTTCATACCTAGCATTTGCATCCAACTAATTTGGGGATATCCATACAGACAAAAAACAAGCCTCTGAGATTTCTTTTTTTTTTCCCCCCCCCTCCCCTTTCAAAAAAACACTACAAACCGATCGAGTAAGTTTTGTGTAATCAAACAGGCTACCACGGAACAGAGCTGCTAATCCTATTGCCTTCTGAGATAAACATCATAAGAAGAAAACTTTTTAATACCCCCACTGAACTCAAATATTTCAAGGTTGTGTTCTAAATGCTCAATCTACCTCACCAAGCATCACAAAAAAATAAAGAAAAAAAAAAAAAGATGAGAGGTTATCAAACAGACCATCTTTTCTATGCCTCGATCAATTGTCCCCCATCATTCCTGTGGAGATGACAGAAGCTATGAATGCAGATTTTATGAAAGAGTTAGGAAAATCTATTATCATGCTTTATCACCTCTAGCCTTAAAACAAAAATCTCAATAGTAACCTGAAACCATCCTCTTTGCTACCATTTAAACTCACTATTTTTGGCAGCAACCACGACAAGCCTGCATAACAAGTTATTTGCATTCTTTGCATCAGATTTGACAACTTCCATTTCTTTTTTTTAAAAAGAACTCCAATTCCTTCAGTCTTTCCCGAAGGCTCTAATCTTCAACACTAGACTAGTCATCCTTGTTAGTCTTCTCCAGACTCTCCGCAATCACTCCATATATTTCTTGAAATACTGGTCCAAAGTCTGATACAGTATCCAGCTAAGGCTTTTCCTATGCTAGCAGGAAAAAAAAGCTATTTAACTTATCTTTTGAGATATACTCCTGTAGACTATTAGCTGGATATGAAACATCCTGCAGCTACAGTTTAACTTGTCCACACAATTAAGTAGCATGTCACATTATAAAGTTCCTCCAATCTCAATTTCTGATCACAGAATGCAAGGAAACATCATTGAGATTAGACATAAAACTTATTCCCAATAATACAAAAGCAATAAGGCAAAAAATGCTTAGATCTCTTCAATTTTCCAAGTAAGTAGCATGTTTGATTGTGAACTCTTCAAAAAGAGAATACCTTTCCTTGTAAATTTCTATAATTTCCAGCCTGATAGGTTCCCTAAACAACAAAAAAAAACCCCTAATTTTTCTTAGCGCACCTCCACTCCTCCACTACTATATGAGAATCCACCAGGTATCCGATACAGTGTTAGTGATGCCTTCTCATTCTATAGATTTTAAAAGAAGAATAAAATGTGTTTTATATTTTTCAGATACTGTAATCTTATAACTAATACTCATGCAGGATAAATTCCAGCATCACTGCCTAGAAAATGATCAACTGTCCAACAGATCAGGGCCTTGCTTCACAACTTACAAAGTCATTTTTATCTACCAAAGAGCACTTCAGGGCACACAGCTCTGAGTACAGAAAATCCTATTTGAATTATTTAATATTTGTGTAAATAATCTCTAGCAACAAGAACAGAGCCTTTCCTCCCAGCTGTCACACACTCACCATATCACACACTTACTATATCAACAACCCCATAATACTCTGCAAACCTTCCATCCAAACAATTTCTTGTCCTGAGAATTCACCCTGTGGTAAAAGCCAATCTAAATGCCTCTGGGGGCCAGACATTTATCCTGGGCCTCCTAATACCAGAAGAGTAAGTGGAAAAGAAAAATTTACGCTCTTCACCTGCCCCTACTCTCCTCAAACCCATATGCCTCTGAGAAGTACCTCTTTTCTAAAATGCACCACTTTTATGAGTGCAAGTGCAACTAAGTATTCTTACTTGTCTTGATCTGTTATAGAAAAAAACGCTTTAGCAATTATTACACTCTCATATAGTGCCTCTTCATTATTAGAAGAGATTTTTTTGTATCAGCAGTTAGGCTACCAAGGCAACTTCTGAAGCACTACATTCAATATTTGATTTAAAATGGTCATGAGTTTAACGATATGGCATAAGTTTGGCTTTTTGGAAACCCCAAACTTGATTTTGCAAGTGATGTTGATGTAGCTATAAACAACAGAAAAAAAGAGTTCTATTCTGATCTTGGTAAGGAACACCACCTTCACCAGAAGGCTTCAACTTACGAGTTTGTGTAAGCCTGCTTCAAGGTTTGTTGAAGATTCTTGTTATCTACCCCCTTTTCGAAGTAGAAACTTAGCTCTACAATTCACTGCAATCTTTCAGGAAAGAAAGCCCTTATTGCCAGAGGGAAAATTTTCAGTTCTGTACTAAAACCTTTCCAGGTATCTCCTCAAAATAAGTGAGGTTATGCTCCTTGATGGGTTTCCACAGCAAGGTCATTTTTAAAGCCTGGATTTACATTGTCTTGAAGGAACAAAACAAAACACTAGAACATGCACTTATACTAGAGAGCCATGAGTCAGTTACAAGCACTTCAGTATTTTTATGTCACTTTGAATTTGCATTACACTTTAAATTGGTTTGTTTTTGTATTAAGAATAGAGTTTCCATTTTAAACGTATCAGCAACTTTTCATCACGAACTTTATTAAAACTACAGATTTAGATGAGGTAATAGATGTACTTATATGGTAAACAAAAGTTAATTACTTATGACTTGAGGAAGAACTAAGTAACTGAAGAACAAAACCACATCAGAAAATAAAAATTCTAACCCCAGCTCTGTTTTAGACCTGTGTGTTTTAGTATTTCCAATGTATAGAGAGTTTGCTTTTGAATAATACAAGAATATCCCCACTCACTTCTTAACAGTAAATACATGCATCTATGCTTGGGAAGTACCAACCTCTGTGGCTGGCAGGTGTTCCAGATACCAGAATGCTTCTCTCTCTCATATAGAGATGTGAGCTATTCAGCCAAAAAAAAAAAAAAAGCTATACTACGTAATTTAGTATCTGGAACCAAATGTAGCGACCTGCATAAGAAAAAAAACATTTTTGAAGTTCAAGTGAGTTACAGCAGAGTTTCACCAACAACCCCTTTAGTATCAAATCTGATTTAAAAAAATTCTTGTCTCCTGCCACTCCTTTCCTCTCTCTCCCTTGCACTGCAGTTTACTTTTCCCTGTCAGTTACATTAATATTGCTGTTTCTAAGGCCACAGTATAAACCAGTTATTGAAACGATCCCATGAAGATTTGTTTTTTTCCATGGCAGGAATAACGGTAACTCAGTTGCATGTATAGTAGTAACAGCACAATCAGGGTGATAAAAAGTCAGTGAGAAGCTTTTAACTGTCATTTTGCTGCCTAAAGAGAGTGTTACTTAATCTCACTCTTTAGATATTCAGGTTTCTCAACCAGTTGAGAGTTTCTCCTACTCAATAAAGACTAGGCTTGCACTACTCAAAGCATTTAATCACCCTGCAGTTTAGGTGTAGAATAGACTTATACTGCTGAGGTTTGTCTTCCTTCAGCAAGGTGAAGGGGTAGTTCCCTAAGAGGGAGGAATCAACCTAACCTTTCACTAACATTAGTGGGGAAAAGCTCCTTCCAGATTTCTCCTTTCTGGCCATCTACTCAGCATGAACTCTGGTATTTGTCAAACTTCTCAACTCATTAATTCCATAAAGATAAATAAGAGATAAGAGACGGTCGTTTCTGGTGAGATAGAGCTGAACCGGATTCCTCTGTGAGCCAATGATCAAAGCCAGCTCAAAGCAGACGGTCTCCCCCCCCCCCAAGAGTAAGGCCTTCTCTCAGAGCAGCAGGGAACTGTTACCTCGTGGGCTCTGCACCTCACAGAACCACAAGACTTTGCTCACAAAGGAGAGGCCCCACAGTGATTACAAAAACGTGCTCTGGAAAGCTAAGCTGAGCTGAAATAATCTTCAACAACTAAAGCACTGAATGAGGAGACAGTTTTTGCCATCGGTATTTACCTCTGGAACAGACCTGATGCGCCACATTCGGCAATTTACTCCGACTTCAATGCCTACAGTACTCAAATCTGCACAATACCTTGCATTGTTAGAGCTTATTTTATTCCACCTTCTGTAAAAGTTTCAGAAATGTTAGCAACATAAACCTTAACCCTAGCAAAACAGGTAGTACTGCTCCTCACAGGATTGGGAAGTTAAGTAATATGCCCCAAAACACAGGAAGTATCTAACAGAGATACTAACCAGAGGCCTGCCATCCTCAGAGCCTGCACAGTGCCCTGTCCGTTAACATTTCCTCAGGCTCCTCGTGCAGAAATTGCAAGCGAGGCCAAAACCCAAGAAACAAACTGCACAGAACCCTGTTTTTAACTATATTTCGAGGGCTTCAAAACCCTCGGGGAAAGCCGATTACAAAACATCCACACAACAGCTCAGCCAACCAAAGCCGCCAGGTAACTTCCAAGCGTGGCAGGGAAGGAAATTCGCTGTTTTTTGCTTTAACCCAGAGCCCGACCCGCCACCCTCACCCA